TGGAAGGAAGAGTGGTCATGGCATAATTTGAAGTACATTCCTTGCATTTGCCTCAAGGAACAAAAGACATGTACAGAAATCTTCAGTTGGGATAGCTGATATCATGGCTGAGATTTCAAGTGACCACCTCCAGAACACAAGTCAGAAGTGTTATTGTGTGAGCCAAATTGTTTGGTGGGTTATATTAACCAACACACAAACCAAACTAATGGCTAAACACATATCTACGTAAGAAATACAGTTTTGGATTCAAAATTATTCCAGCATTTCTGAACTGAATCTACAAAAATGCTCTCTTGGATATAATATTTTTAAAAAGTATTTTGGCTGTTACATTAAAACAAGCAGCCATCCCATACTATCTATTAATCAAGAGATACACACAGAACAACAATAATTTATTGTTGATTATGGTCTTGGGTCATTGCAGTGTGTGGATGTCGACAGTTTTGCCAATTTACATGCTGCCTCCATCTTCAGGATCACAGTGAGTGGGATATGCTTGCTGAGCACTTGAATGGTTGACTGCTTGCAAAAACCAGTTGCTGCTGGCACTTAGGTCCAGTCGGAAGCCTGTAAAAGGGCTGTTTTCGGTAATATTTCTCTGTCCACTCTCCCTTTAGGTCTGTGACTGAGCACCAGCCATCAGTCTTCCCTTCATGGGTTTCTTGAACCAGAACCTGCATGAACATTCACTTACTGTACTCACTCTGAAACTGAAGATGGACACAGTAAGAACCTCCAAAACAATGGCAACACTGCTCACATACACACTGTGCAAGGACCATACAGCAGTGTCAACACTGACAGTGAACCACAGTGAAAGCATACAATCACTAAAAGCGAATTATATATAATTAAAGTACTGAATTATGCACTGTATTTTCATTGCAGGAAGAAGTGAAGACACTAGAAAAGATTCTTCTTCAAACTATTAAGTTTGACTTACAAGTAGAACACCCTTATAGTTACCTTGAAGAATATGCAAAGTGTCTGAAAGGTGAGAGTTTAGCTTTTG